TAAAAATTGTTCAGGACAAATTCTTAACTTTACAGCTATATAAGGAGTCATAGAAGACAAAGTAAACATGTATAAAGATAACTTACTACACATAGATGGATTTGTTCAAGGTGAAACTTGTGAGAATACACTATCTAAAAAATGTAGCTACAGATCGATGTCATGATTAGGAGATGATTTATGTTAAAATATCAATTAGATTACCTTACTCTATTTCTTTTACGTAGTTGGTGTGGCTAAAAGCCTTAGCGCACTCTGAACAGTGAAGACAATATTAGCTTAACTTCTTTTTCTACTACTTTGTCTTAAAAAAGATATGACACAACGCAATACATTATGAGAGGTATTTCCTAAAATGAAAGGGGAGGAAATGATTAGTATTTGCGAGCAAGGACATACATGGGCGTAAATGATTAACTAATTTTTAATATTTGTGTATTCATCAGTTTTATTTGTTATGTTATGTTGTATAGGGTATTACTTTGGTAAAGCAATATGGATAATTTATACTATCACACTCTCGCTGTACCATATTTAATCACTTCTTGTCCTTTTAACCAACACATGATTCTTCTTGAGTCTTACCTGATAACGTAGAAGCATTTTTGGACACAAAAAATTGTCAATTTGAATACCTTTTAAACCCTTTAGAACTGGAATGCAGAAGTTTTTTGATTTTCCTGATAACACATTTTATATAGGATAGAGAAGTTCATCGAGGTTGAGAAAACAACAACAATGTCATCTGATTTACCAGATAAACTGGATACCCTTTAGAATGTGGAATTTGTCCAGAAGTTGCACACAAAAAAACCCTCAATTGGTCTGATTTTCCTATGGGTAAAGAAAAATATATCTGAACAAAGAGAAATCCTTTGTTATCTGAGAGTGTAATACTATTACAAGATAGAATTCTTTCTAGTCAATACAAGAAGCTCAAGTTCCACAAACTAGTAAAGACGAAGAAACACAAACGTATACTAAATCGTATCAATATCACAAAAAATTGTATTATATTACACGCTAGACTCCCAAAAATTAACACAAATCGTATCAACAACACAATAAAATCAAAACCCACAAACCAAATCTATAATCGCACGCAATAAACCCAAATGGAATAAATTCGGACATTCAAAGATAGAAATTTCTACCTGATAAATTCTACTCCAACAAAATCCTTTCAATGGGATGCAACTTTAAGACATCAACTTCTTAAGTGAAGCATTTCGTTCTATCCCTGATGAAAAATGAGAAAAATATGAGGTATTTTCGTTCTATCCTTGATGAACAATCATTAATCTGAAAATTGAGAAAAAAACTCAAGAGTTTCTTGAAACCATTCTACAATTTTCTTTGTGAAAAATCATTACATAATGTATTGATTAAAGAATTACATGTTGATTTGTGAGCCTTTGAGAAATTTCAGAATGGGGACAAACAATATTCTTATGAGCATTTGAGAGGTTTTCTTATTTAGGGCAAAGACCTGACAATTGAAAGGTTTTTATGTTTTATAATTTATTTATTTTTTGGCCAATGAAAAATTGGAGGGAGAGTTAAAAATATGTTGGAGGGAATATAATATTTAATTGAAAACTTTAAGGCAACACTTGTAATGTGTTGTTTTTACAATTATAAAAATAATATACTTTTAAAGTGTGGTCATATGTGTAAATAGGTGTTCCCAATTAAATCATAATGTAACAACGCTTATAAAGTGTTGCCTATGCCATTAAAGAATACACTTTATAAGTGTTGCCAATACAACTGAAGCCAAAATCTAAAAACATAGGCTACACTTTATAAGCGTACCCAAATATATTTTAGGCAACACTTTACAAGCGTTGTCAAGATTTAGTGTGGCCGTAGGACTAAAATGTTGTAGTGGATGTTACCCAATCTGCATCCTGCAATGCTTCTTTGATATTCTTGGGCTCAATGGATGATTTGAAGGCTGAGTATGCAACTAGATTTCTAGCTCTGGATCTAGTTTGTATTCCAGAGTCGAGTGGAGAGATAAGATTGTCCAATGGATGTGAGGATTGATGTTTCCATCCGGACTTTCTGGTAATCTCTTCTTCTTTTTCGACATCAGATTCACCTTCATCATCTTCTGGATTTTGAGATAATACCTCCTGAGCTGAACCAGAGGGACCATGTACTCCTGTGTGATCTGCACCATTTTCCTTTGCATCCTGATTATCCTGTTTTCTATTGATCAGCTCCTCGAGTTCATGGTCTTCTTTGTGTTTATCCCCTTTTTCTGATTCATCAAATACTACATGCATGCTCTCTTCAACACATAGAGTTCTTTTGTTATAAACCCAGTAAGCCTTACTTGTAGAAGAGTACCCAACAAACACCCCTTCATCACTTCTGGCATCAAACTTGCCAAGGTCATCCTTTTCATTGTTTAGTACAAAGCATTTGCATCCAAATGGCTTGAGATGAGCAATGAAGGTTTTCTGTCATTGAGCAATTCATAAGGTGTTTTCTTGATCACAAACCTGATAAGACACCTGTTTGTGACATAGCATGTTGTGTTGACTACCTCTGCCCAGAAATTCATTGCAAGCCCTGAATCAATCATCATAGTTCTAGCAATATCCACCAATGTTCTGTTCTTTCTTTTAACAACTCCGTTTTGCTGAGGAGTTCTTGGTGCTGAGAAGTTGTGGTTCATTCCATTTTCACCACAAAATCCCTCAATTTGAGAGTTTTCAAACTCTGTGCCATGATCAGATCTGATGCTAGCAATCTAGCAGTTTACTTTCAGTTGAATAACTTTGGCGAAAGTGATCGGAAGTCCTGTCGTCTCATCTTTAGTCCGCAAAGACATATTCCATGTAAACCTGGAGAAGTCATTGATATGCTCAAATTACACCTCTCTAAAGAAGCATAAGCGATCGTTATCAAGTAAATAACCCAACTTGTAGGTTGGGGTCGATCCCACAAGGAAAATGGTTTAGACTTTACTTTAACCAACAATTTTATTCAATTAGTCAAATTACTTCTAGAAATAAGTAATTAAAGGGGGGTTTTTTGTGAAACAAATTGTAAGAATTTAATAGTAATCAGTAATCAAAAGTCAATTTTGGTTGTTATCAAGATGAGAGAAATAACTAGGGTGTACGTGTTCCCCACAAGCTCATCTGATCCGATTCCACACACTAGAATCTTCTTTGCTTTATAGTTTTTCTCAATCTTTTTCCTGTCCATTTCATTATACTCCTTTCTAGTTTTAACAACTATTGTAGTGAGTTCACCATCTTTCACTTCCTTAGTGGGGATGTATGGTCCATCTAGGATTACATCCCACAGCTTAGTGTCTTCAACATTGATGTAGTCATGCATACGATTCTTCCACCACCCATAGTACTGTCCATTGAAACGGGGTGGTTTGGTAGAAGACTGGCCTTCCTTCAAGTTGAGTGGAGCAGCTATTCCTTCAGGATATTTTCTTTTCTTGGTGTTATCCAAATTGAAAAGTCAAGTTTTGATACCACTTGTTGGAATGTATGGGTCCACTTAGCTCTGATGGGACCAGGTCCTCAACACAATTTATAATGATAACAGTAGATAAATACTTAATGTAAATAAATGCTGAAAGTAAAGATTGTACACACAACTTTACGTGGAAACCTCCTTGCTCAAGGGAGTAAAACCATGATCTGTTTCACAGGGATTTTTGAACTGCATTCACTAATCTTCTCCAAGGAAAAGTAAAATACAGTTTACAACTTGAATTAACCTTCTATTTTCCAAACTAAGTAATAACACCTATTACTTAAACGAGCCTAAGCATATACAACACTGCCCATTATACTAATCCAGACTGATTAATATAGACTTTTGGTGTAAGACACCAAGTTACTCACAATTAAGTTCTTACAATGATTCACACAAGCTTGAAACGTTTCTAACACAAACAAAACGATTCCTACAATATAAGCACGATTACAAGCAATTCAAATAACAACTGGTACAGTAAACAATGAAGCACTCTATCAGCTCCCTGCGGTTTTGAAGCTTGAAACTCTCTCTTTTTGAATGAATAAATAATCTTGTTGTTTGTATTTGAATATATTAGTCATGAAAAATTATTATCCAACGTACAAACAATCTCGTCGCTTCTGATTGGTGTAGTACACTGCAATTCCACCAACTTTCTAACGTAGACAATTTTTCCAGCTGTACAATATATGACACTGGACGAGCATACTCTGTAGAGGACCAGGTCCCTACACTTGTGAGGAGATTATCAAAACATCTGGGAGCATTAACACTTATCAAATAAAAATATTTTGTACTCATGTGAAAATTACCCATCAATTTGAAGATTCATATTTAGTTAACATTTATCACCTAGGTAAAAGTGAAATATATTTGATCAATTTTCCAATTATTGCGTAATTTTAAGAAATTCGAAAGAACCGATTGAAGTTGAAATATCGAAAAAATCAATTTCATCTTAGTTTATTTTGGTTTATAAATTTAATAAATCAACATATTAGGTTAAATTATTTTTAATGAAAAACCAAATCAATCCAACCTATGGTTTTACAAAGAATATACCGTTATAATGAATTTTATTGTTTTTATAGGTAGAATATTATTATACAAAAGTAAATAACATAAAAAAAATTACTTTTTGAAGAAAATCAGTCCGTTATAATGAAATATCATCATAAAGAGATTTAACAATGCTTAAATTAAGATTAATTGAAAAATAAATAAAGATAAATTTAATTAAGTGAGCTAAAATAAATAAATAAATAAATATGACATGTAAAATGGACACGTGGAAGTAGTATAATGTTTTTGTTCTTACTTATATAAACACCAAAATTAATTTCAGTTACTTCACTCTCCTTGCTCTTTCCGTCAAGTGTGAAATCCACTGAGGTAAGCTACCTCTTCAGTTTCTTCTGCTCTCACTCTCACCAATTCAATCCACATTTTTCATACACGTGTTGCTGTGGAGACGGAATTTCAGTATGGACGGAGGTGATCCTACTAAAACAGTCAAAGATGATTCCGGCAACATCGCCGGCGGTGGTGAAACGGTCACCATCAACATCCGATGTGTCAACGACTCCAAATTATCTGTTCAAGTAAGCCTCAATTCCACCGTCGGATCATTCAAGTCCATCCTTTCCCAGCCGGCTGATATCCCTGCTGAGCAGCAGAGAGTGATCTATAATGGCCAAATCTTAAAGGATGATCAAACCCTAAAAAGCTATGGTATTAATTAATTACTCTTTATCTAAATATTTTTGTAACATTTTTCTACTTTATTACTAATGCTGAATTATTTTTGTTACTTAAATGTACTTTTTATTACTCATGTTGCTGATCAATCAATCAATCAAATGTATGTACCTCAATTACAAACTTGTTAGGGTTTGTGATATAAATGTTGTAAACATTATTCTTTATTTGGTGAATTTGTTGATGAAAAAGAATTTTTTATTTAAAAGAATATTTGTATGTTATATAAAGGTGCATGCTAAATATCTAAAAGTTTTGAGCTTTAACTACTGAATGTAGGGAACTATTCGGTTGGCTTGGGATTGTTTGCTAATGCATTTTCCTGTTCTGAGGAGTAATTTGAATTATTTGTTCATTTTGGAAAAGAATGCATTTAAAACTGTTTTAACAAGAAAAAGAAATAATGCATATAGAAGTTGTTTCCTGAAATGGAGGGGAATCTAGTTTTGGAAAATTATTCATTGGAACTATTAGCGGGTGTTGAGAATGTCTGGACTTTCCATGTGCTAAAGATGAGACACTTAGAATGTAGAAGTATCTTCTTTGACTTTTGTGAAGGAGATGTCCTGCAATTGAAGGGAGTAGTAATTTTTGAGAGCCTACATTCGACTCCTACATACAATACTTGACGTGAGCCCATTCGCTCCATCTTTGGTAGGTACGATTACGTTGACAAGGTATTCCTTACTTTCTCGATTTAGAAGTGCAAATTTAACCTCTGTGTTTGTGTTCTTTCCAGAATAGATGGAAATAATTGATAAGTTATGTGTTAATGAATTAGGATTAAATTTCAATTCTAATAGATTTAAAGTCTTGCTTATTCATTACAATATATTCCCTAATCTGGTGTGTTTTGTCTTGGGACAAGAAATAGGTAAAGGTCAATAAGTGGAAAAAGGTACTATAGAGAAATGATGCAGTGGTATTGGGGTTTCTTGGACTTTTTTATAAGAGTATGAAGATGTGTACCTGGATCTGCAATAGCAGGGAATCTGCATTTTTGTTGCAGTTCAGTTTCCATTTTACTAAGTACAATTTGATTTAGCATGGATTCTCTTGTCTTTAACATGACGCTACTTAATGCCAATTATGTTGAACTGATTCATGATTGGTTACTTATAACCACATAACATTCTGGATTGAGCTTTGGAATCTTATACTATCAAGATACATGGAGCTTCTATTTTATCTGCTCTCTTGTTACATGTTATCAGGCTGTCAGAATAAGAATCTTAGCAATTTGACTTTAATTTTTGTGGCAAGCAGGTCTGGAGGCAGACCACACAGTTCATCTTGTTCGAGGTTTTGCCGCAGCTGCTTCTGCTAGTACAACCAATGTTGTAAATCCAAATGCTAATCAGGATGCTCCCAGGGTTGCTGTTCCCACTACAAGGGGGCTGTTTGTCAGAGCCGGTGGAGCTCCACTCTTTTCTGGACTTGGAAGTAGAGGTGGTTTGTTTGGAGCTGAACTTCCAGATTTTGAGCATGTCCAGCAACAGCTAACTCAAAACTCCAACATGATGAGAGAGATGATGAATATGCCTCTAGTTCAGAATCTAATGAATAACCCAGAAATCATCTGCAACTTGATCATGAACAATCCTCAAATGCGAGAGTTCATGAATCCTAATCCCGAGCTCTCGTACATATTCAATGACCCTGCTATATTGGAGGCTGCAAGTAACCCTGAACTCATGCATGAGATGATAAATAATATTGACTGGGCATTGAGCAGCATTGAACCGTCTCCTGAGGAATTTAACATGCACATGTATGAGAATGTCCAAGAGCCATTTCTGATTGCAACAACCATGGCTGGAGATACAAGAAATGATTCAGGGACAAACCCGTTCGTGGCTCTTTTGGGAGCCCAGGAACAAGGCAGAAACCAGTCAACTAACCCTCCAACTACTGGTTTTGACACAACTGCTAATCCTCCTGCTCCAAACTCGAACCCACTTTCTAATTCTTGGGCATCAGCTGACAGTAAGTTTCTACCAATTTCGTGGCTCTAACTGTATTTGCTGCTAGATTTAACCTTGTTACTTCATCTCCTATCTTGTTCACCAGGGTCTTTTGCATATTAAAAGAAACTTTTTATTTCTTTCCTATTTGTTGTTCTGGAGATGCTTTCATGCATCTTCACTGCTGAGGGTGCCATGAAGTCGTCATACTCATGCAATTTGTGCTTAGAACTTGAACATTTGAACACCTGTTCTCTGTAGCTACTTTTTTTCTTTGTTTTTCTCTGGTAAAAATATTTCAAAGTTTAGCTTAATTTTGTCAGGATTTATTAAAAACAATTTTATACTTTTATCTATATCAAAAACTTTCTTTTTTTATTTAATATGAAGAATCTAATTATGTAATATTATTAGGTTCCTTTGGCTAATCAGAAGCTAATGTCTTATGTATGTACCATTCATTATCTTGCTCTCCCCCCCCCGCCCCCCCTTTCTTCAACTACTTTTGATAAGCAGGGTATTGTCTTTTTCCTCTATTTTGCAGTTGGAGGTGCCCAAATGAATACCACTCCCAGATCAAATGCTGCTAGGAATATTTGGGGACCCCCTCTTGGTGGTTTGGATGACTTACCAGATTTGCAGCGAATGCTAGGTGGCATACCTGACGCCTCTTCTGAAAATCAGTTAATGGAGTACCCAACCATCTCACAGATAATGCAGCACATAAACCAGGTATTTATTTATCTGCTTGGACTAAAGTTTACATACAGTCAGCGAGTTTAAGGTTTGATTCTTCTTTCTCGTGGTTTTTTGTTTTTTGTTTGTGATGGAAAATTTCTTGTCAAGCTTCTCATTTCTTGAGTATCTTGGTGATCAGATTATGGGGCTCGACCCCAACCCTCATCCTGGGGATATGATGCCAAATCCTGAATTTATTCATCAGTTGACGTCCTCTGAGAGGATGCAGGTAAAGAATTTTTGCATGCTATCTTTAAGTTTTGCTTTTTGGAATTGTAGAATGTGTAAGTAATGCATGCAGCGTGGCAAATCTAGAAAATCGGGTATCATTCTTTTTTTGATACATAAAGGTTAATGATAGCTTAGAACTCAAAAGGGTAAAAGTTATGTTAGAAATATGTTTAGAGCCTGTTTGGATTGGCTTTGGGCTTTTAGCTTATAAGCCAAAAGTCATACTATTTTTGCCACACTGCATGCACCACTTAAAAGCACTTTTTTGTTTTACCCAAATACTACAAAAGTGCTTAAAAAATATTTTGGCTTAAAAATACTTAAAATAAGTCAATCCAAACGGGCACTTAGTAGATTTGTCGCAAACTTACACCTAGAGGTAAATAAGTTAAATTACAACTCAAAAAGGTAAAAGTACTACTCCTTCCGTTTTCAATTTATTTGTCTGGTTGGCATGAAGTTGTAGAAAGTAAATAAGACTTTTGAATCTTGTGGTCTTAAACTAAAGATATGTAGAATTCCATAACACCCTTTAACCTTGTGGTCTTGAACAAAGCTAGAATTAAAGAGTTGTCATAAAAGGAAAAAGACACTCTTTATTAAATAGACTAAGAAAGAAAGTAGGACAAACAAATTGAAATGGAGGGAGTATTAGAAATATGCTTAGTAGAATTGGTGCAGAAAGAGATAATACGAAAAGGAAACACAAGACACAAGAATTACATCTCTGGAAGCCTATATATTTGCCTTGAGCTTTTGCAGATTGATCTAGTGAGAACTTGAATCAGATTGTTTTAGAGAGATCGGCAAAGATACACCAAGAGGTCACAGGCTTATCAATTAAGTTTATAAATGTAGTATCTCTAGGTGTTGAAAATGTAGATGTGGTCTTAGTGGCTTAGTGTAACCATTCTCATCTAGTGGTCGTACTGATTACTGAAAAGGCACTAAATATTAATGTTGGGCATCTAGAAGGAAAAAGAATAAAAACATTTACTATGAAAAACAAAGGGGAAAATAGCAACAGAAAAATTCAAACAAAAAAAATCTTGTCTATTTGTTATTCGTTCCTCTTATTGGACATCCTTGAACTACTTTCAACCCTTGCAATTACTCATTTAGGTTCGTTTTCTTACTAAACTAAATAAGCTAAGCTCTGACGATGTTAATTTATCAAAAAAAAAAAAAACTTTGCAGATTTAAGTGTCAAGTATGACATGATAGACACTGTCCTTCAGATTTTATTATTTCAATACAGAAATATACTTCAGATTTTATTATTTATGTTTCTACAGACTTTATTGTTCATTGAAACTGTTTTTCATTGTCATTTCATTAAATATTAGAATATTAATATGTCTATTTATTTCTCTTGAACATGATGTATGTTTTTTTGTCATATTACTGGTAAGTGTCACTGATTCATCAAACACATTTTCTGGGCACAATATAAGACATTCTGGATTAAACATTTTTCATCTTTATAATTTAAAAGTCATTATCTTGCCCATTTGGAGGTACCAAGGGTGTAAAAAGAATCCTTTTGATATGTGTCTGGACATAAATTTTTTTTGAAAAAAAGATATGCATTTTATTCATCTTCAACAAAAAGACACGTGATTTTATTCTTATGTGTCTGGACATAAAACATGATGTGTGCATAATTCTTTGGGTATATTCTTCCTTCATTCCTTTTTTTTTTTTTGAAAAAAATTTTCTTATTCTGACTTCTTTAACGATCATTCTTTTTCCTTTTAGGAACATCAGGTACAACAAGGGTTATTTCCTCACCTTGATCGGTCGCAATCAAACCAGTAAGTCTGGACATATATCTATGGATTTTCCTTGACTGGAGAATCTCACACCTCCTGATTCAGCTGATATGATGATATGCATCTCCTTGTCTCATTATTACTCATCATTTTTGTTGTCCTACACTCACCATAGAAAAAGAAATATTACTTACATTCATATTTCACTTGCCAAAAAATAGTCTAAGCCTTTCTAATTAGGTGGGATAAAAGATAAACTTGTGAGGGGCTTGAGATTTTTCCTCTGATTATTTGGATCAATGGGGTAATTTTCTGCCTTATCACTTCTGACAATGTCTTTTCTGCATGCAGAGAACAAGACCGGGAAGCTGACCGAGCAGGTGATAATATTTTATTCTCTATATTTCCCAATTTGATATCCTTATAACTGTAAATATACCCTTAGGTTTGGAGGGAATGGTCTCTTGATTTAGGAGCAAATAAATCTTCTTACAATATTTTCCAAACGTTGCTTAAGTCTAGTATTTTAATGCAAAACTGGCCTATTAATTAGGAACAATACCCTTTATATTTTTGTGATGCACATTATTTGTGATCATGTTTCATGAATGGACATTCATTTTTGTTTAGTCAACTGAGGAGCCTACTTCTTTGTTTTGTTATATATTATATGAAATTTGAGATTTTACAAGGGCGACAGAACTGATTTGGATTTATACCTGTTAGATAATGGAGTTTATTTTTTTGTTAAAAATATTGATTGAAATTTATAGGTTGAGAATGAGGGTTTGGTGGGGATTTAGAAGACACAAATTCAGATAAAATATATAAATGTCACAAATTAAGAGTGATATTAGTATGAAAATAACGAGATGAGATACAAATTTGTATCTGGAAAAGGTGGTTTATTGTGGGGATCTGTATATACTATTTTACACTTGTGAATAAGCTAAAGAAAGGTTCTATGATGAATGCTTATTTAGATGATACTCTTATTTGGTGAAATTAGCGAGAAAGTCAACTGAAGTTGGAACTATGAAGAAGAACTCTGGTATTAGCCTTTTAGGTTAATTAGAAATAAAACAAATTACCTATAAAAACTAGAAATAAGACAAACTATATCCTTACAATAAGATCAGTCGAATGAGACTAGATGAGATAGTGGTGCCAAAATGTAGAGAGTGGAAATATTTACTCTCATATTTGAGGAGAATGATATGATAGATGAAGATGTGACACAAGCTAAAAGAGGATTGTGGAAATGGAGGAGTGCTAAGACAGTTATGTTATACGTGAACGCCTAACCAAGTGAAACACAAGTTGTATGCAACGGCTGCGAGATCAAAGATGTTATATGCGAGTGAATGCGAGTAATGTAAATCTGTGTGTATCCACAACATAAATTTCCTAAAAATTGCGCGGATATTTAGTCATACGAGGTCATTAAGATTAGAATTATCACATCTGACCAAAAAAAACATGATAAGAAGAGGGAGTCTGTCTCCTATGTAGACCTCCACATGCATTGGTCAGTATGTGCGAAAACATGATGATTGAAGAAGACAGGGATAGAAAGTTGTGTTAGAGAGATCTACTTGCAGATCTCGAAATTAATATGAATTTAGTGTTAGATCATAATACAATAGAAGCAAAGAATCCATACATGAGTTAGTCTTTTATCAGGTCAAGTGTTTGGTAGGAATCTCTATCTTTTTGTTGTTAGATACTCGTTTGTTCGACTAAGATGGGTGCGACTTACGGGATTTAGAGAAAGTCTAGTTCTAGGCACAAATCTTTAGTGTTTATTTTTTACAAATTGTGGGTGATTTTAACTCACATCAGCTGTGGGTGATTTTAATATATAATTGCAGTATATCAGAACCGGGCAATGGAAGTGGTGAGGAACGTGGTTGATGGTACTCTTGAGAGGGAAGGTTTGCGTGAACTGGGCAGATTAAATGGTTAGTTTATTCTCGTCTTTCTCATTCTCTCTCTATATCTCTCCGACTTAACTCGGATGCTCATATTCCTGTTGACATCTTATTGTAGTAGGGCCAGAGGAATTATATGCAATTCAGTTAATCCAGTTCATTACAAGACTTGGGCTTCTTTGACAGTGAAGAAGCACTTGTTGGAAATGTGCACGCACGCTGCCGTGGAGGAACTTAGCTTGTAGAAGACAGTACTGGAGAGTAGTGTATGTATATTCTCTTTGTATGACTATATAGATCCAGATGAAATTGTTGATGTAGACACAAGAAAAGGAGATTGGTGGAAGAACTACTTCTTCAGTTCATTGTACATACTATGTTTAGATCACTCTTGTTCATTATCATATGACTTTATTGCCTACTTTCCTGTAGCATTTTGTTTTTGCTTTGCTAGGTGGATCACAGAGTTGCCATGTCACCACTATGCTTCGAAAAAAGGGTCAAAAATACCTCTAACCTACCCAAAAAAACTCACAAACAAACACCCTCCTACTTTTTTTTATCTAAAAATATGGTCAAGTCCGTGCAAATATACTCATCTTTCCACCCTTCGATTCAAAGATACCTTCAACTTTGCTATAATATTAATAATCGTAGCTAGAGTTCAGTAATTTTCCTTCAACAATCTATCCATAGTCCAAATCCTCAATTTTCCTATTAATCAAAAGTGAAATAATAGATTTACATCACCTCTTAATTAATTCTTAGATTGTTATTGTTGGTCGATGTTAAATGTGTCTTGTTTTGGAACCTGGTTAATTTTGATTCTTACATTTTATAACTGTGGCTGGCAATTGCATTGTTACAGTTGATATTTGGTTGCATAGGATTTCTAAGAAATTGTAGGTACTTGATAATACATAAGGAGCTGAACCTTCACTAATACTAATTAGTCTAATTAAGCATTGGAGGCACAAAATATCGACCAAAATGTTTCACTTAGCTTCTATAAATAATTAGAGCTATGTATGTACTCTTGTTTTGTACCTCTAATTTTTCTTCTTGTGATTGGAATAAGTTTATACCTAACCTTACTATACATAAAACGTCTCATCTTGCGCATTTGCCTCTCAAAACATTGTGCTCAAGTACGTCCATAATAATTTTATTTGGACTTCGTTTGAATGTTGTTACTTTTTGAATTTTACTATAAATATGATTAGCTACAGGAAGAGTTTGGTATCAAAATAGACATTTTTTGAACTGTAAACACCAAAAGGGACCCTCTCTAAAATCATACATCAAAATGGAGAATTCGCCCATTTATGGGCTAACTATAACTACCATCCTTAACACCGTCATTCCCGTTAACTCTCGGTTCATTCAAAATAATATAACGTCAACTTTAAAAGTAGTTTGCCCTACAATTCTTTTTATTTTTCTCAAATTTAACTGTATTGTAAAGTCTTTTTAATACATAAAATCATGACTTCTTTCAATATTATAAATATAAAAAAACTTGAGAATCGTTTTCATAAAATAATTTTTTACTATTTATTTGCTTGCAACAATAGTAATATAAACTACTGAGGTCGACGGGGACAACAATTCCTTTTATGACTACAGTTCCCTTACATAAATTATATTGTTGTGTCATGCAACTTGAAGCAATGTCCTTTTATTTCTACGACGCCTAGTATTATTGACCGCAAAAGTTCTCAAATATTGAATACTAGGTAATTTGCCCGCGCTTTGCACGGTCATAAATAATAATTGCCTTAAATATGCAAATAATCTTTTACTAATATCCATACATTATAAATAATGGAAAAAATAGGTTCTTAAAAAACTATTAGCAATATTCCAACATGAATTTGACTATTTGTCATTATCACATAACTCAAGAACCTCTAATGAATGAATTATTCAGGAAATAATAAATCATTGATTCTTTAATCAACATTAAAAGGAAAATAAATAAGAAAGTAAGATATATATATATATATATATATAAAGGTATTTCGTAAGAAAAAGATCCCGTTTAAGTTGCATAGATTCTACAATTGTGATATATTTCTGAGGAAAAAATTCAAAAATTTGTTAACAGATTCAAAAAAGAAATTACGCTTGAACATGAAAGCAATTATAACTTTTGAACATGCATAATGAATTTCCTCAATTGATCTATGTAAAAACAGATAATATGTAAGCTTATATATAGTACTTTTAAGTTATAGAATTTTATATAGAATAGCAAAACATGAATTCTTGTAAGTGAGTACAATAATTATTTTTTGCACAATGAATATACCTACTATATGTGTATATGTTCAATATAATCGGAGACAATAACTTTGCATAAACATAAACAATAGAGTTTAAAACATGTACTCAAAAACAACAATTAATATCATAAGCATAAATTAATGACTGTAAAAAAAACATATCAGAATATGCAATAATAGAATGCAATAAAAAGGAAAAAATCGAGTCTACTGAATGCACAATGTCCCCTTAAGAAAATTATTCCTCTCTAATACCTGTGGTTTAAAGAATTAGATCATCTCAGGATGGACGATTTATTCACCAACGTATTGATACAAAAACAATGGTGTCAGTAAGCCACTCAATAGGAGCAAAGTATATGAATATTTAATTGTGCAGAAGAAGAAGTTCAGAAATTTTGTTGTTTTAAAATGAGAGGAAATCCCTCTATTTATAGACAACAAAGGGTAGTGTGAACAAATGTTTATTGTGCCTTATCGAAAAGGTCACAACTCTTTGGAAAAGTCACAATCCTTCGGAAAGGTCATGAATTTTTATAAACGTCACAACCTTTCATAAAAGTTGCAACTCTTCGCAAAAGTAACAATTTTTCATAAAAGTAACAACTTTTCATAAATGTCACAACTCTTTATTAAAATTGAAACGTTTCATAAAAGTCACAACTTTCCATGAAAGAGGAAGATTATATAGTTTTGGATTGGAAATAAATAAATTAAAAGAGAATTCTAGTTTGTGGTGGAGCTACGTAGGCGGGCCTAAGGTTCTCTTTTATATATATTCCATTCCATTATTACCTTACCATATTTTAGAAATGGCGGTTAGAAGGACTAACACAACAACAAAAGGTTGTACTTAAAGTAACACATGTTGTACGGTGAATTAGCAACAAAAGGTTGTACTTAGGGTCTGTTTGGAAAGCCACCTGGTAATTAGAATTGGTGTAATTACTAGGGTAGTAATTACCAGCCTAGTAATTACACTGTCTAGTAATTACACTGATCTGTTTGGTTGTCACAGTGTAATTACACATGTCCTGTTTGGATGCACAATTGCAATCATAAAATTATAATAAATTTTTAAAATAAAAATTAATTATTTAAAATTTATACTAGACAAATAAGAAACTTTATAAATGACATTAAATTAAATATTTAAGATATATATTATTTTTTGAAAATATATTAATTAATAAACATATTTTCTGTAACTA